CTCTTCATTATTTTAGTCCTCCCATAAATTAAAAATTTTTTTTATTTTGGGGGGGTTTTTGGGGGGGGGGGGGTGAAGACAACAAACAGGTGCACTGAATCTAAATCTGACATCTTGTGTGTTTAATGACGTTTCAAACGAGACGCTACCTTGTCAACCAAGTTGGCTGCTCCCAGTAGCTTCTGTCTTGTCTTGTCTAAACTCCTATCGTGGCTCTCGAACTGCAACGCAACACGAACCACAATAAACACATAAGTGATGCATGTGCTGCTTTTCTGATTAAATCCATCTTAGTTATGACAGGGGGAATTTCTCAGAGATGTGTCTAAATAGAAATAGTCGGTGCAATGTGTTCATTAGTTCATGTTTACCAACTAAAAATTTAACAGCAACCATGTAAGATGGAAATTTATATATAATCTAATCATGTACTGATATATTAATAAACACGTGTGAATTCCACATATACTTCTCCAACTCCTATGTTTAAAGATGCAAAACCACAATTAGCATCTGATAAAATGCGACCATATATGGACATCTCCCAACCTGTTTCCTTACCTCAGCTCTGTCTGCAACCAACAGAAGCTCCACATATTTCATGTTCTGCATCACCTCCCTTTTCTCCTGCATATAAAGACGGTTGAATGAGTTAACAGTGTCATACACCCCTTGAACATTTTATTTACATTTTGTCACATCGTAACCACAAACTTTCACTTGCTTTATTAGAATTTTACGTGTCAGCGCAACACAAAGTAGTAGCTTTATCTCTAGAGGTGGCAGCAACAGGTCAGAAGAACTTACATGAGTGTCCCTCTTTGCTTTGTCTGCATTCCTCTGAGTCAGCTACTTTTCGTTGGCATATTCTCAGTAAAATACGTTAAAGTTTGTTGTTCTGAACACGTTTAAGGGTTAGGAACATTTATGAAAGCCACTTTAAAGTTTTGGTTCTCATTAAGATGGCAACCCACCCTCCCAATCCGTGGAGACGCCGTTCCTCGGATGAAGTCATTAAGCCTGCCCCGATGCTCCTCATCGCCATAGTGATGTGTGCAGCTCCCCTCGGGCAGACGGAGACTCTCCGCTCTGAAGACAGCATGCTGCCGGGCACCGGTGGAATCGGGAAGAGGCTCTACTAGGTAGCTCACGCTTTCGTTCAGAGAGATCAGTCCCCTGAGGAAACGACACGTAAAGTCATACATCATCACGGAAATCAGTTCGCTTCCTTGATTTGGAAAGAGTGCCAATAATAAACCCATTTCTTTCTACTGCTTTACATTTTCACAAGTAATACATTTTCAGCTGAAACAGAGGGAAAAAAAACCCCAGTAGATTTCATTTTGGTTTCTTTCACTTTGACAACTTTACGTGTTGTCAGGACAGAGAAGTGCATGCCTCCTGCTGTTGACAAATAAAGATCAGCTGGGACCGACGCAGCCGAAGCACAATCCTCTCGGCTTCTCCGCATAAGCAATGCGTACAACAACAGCAGGGTCGCGCATCTGCAGAGAACATCTGCTGAAGTCGGGCGCCCACACATCGGCGTCCCGCTTTTGATTTGTTTGCATTCCTGAAAAGAATCGACATGGAGATGTACTCCTTCGCTTTCCCTCCAGATGTACGGCCAAGCATAAACACTTGATTTGTGGCAGGGTTCCTCCTCGGCTGAAAGGGCCTCCAGCGGGAAACATCAGCAGCTCTGAAGCCGCAGGAGGAGAAAAAAAAAACACAACAACAAAACACTAAGCTGCACTGGATGAACCTATTTTAGAGCCAATAACCTACTGACTCAAAGGACTGCATGAGAGATTAGACGCACTGCATAAGCGTTTGGCCCCAACATTATCACAGTATAAGTGTTTGCGCAGTGTTTTTTTTTCTTTTTTTTTGCAGCACAATTATTCAATTCACAGACAAGCTTCTCAGAAATGTCCCCTCTTGCATACCAAATATGCTTATATTTATTTATATATTGAGTAGTCTCAGTTTTGTTGTCAACGTTAGACATTTGTCGTTATCTATGTACGCGGGTCCTACATGGTTTTCATTCAGAATCACCAAACTTGTCAAGACTCTATTTTTTCAACCTGTGGTTTTTATAGTTTGTGGAAATTTAAATACAGAGAATTTTTTTTTAAAACTACTTTCCTAGTAGTTATATTTTTAAGTTCCACAAGACACAAATGTATACAGTACTGAAATAGAGAGAGGAGTAGCACCGCTTCACAGCTTTAGTTTGGCATCTGGATTTGTTTAGATCAGCTCTATTTCAAAATCTGTAACTCTTGCACTTGACAAATAAGGACTGGGTTATCTGTTCAGTGTTTCATCCAGACTCCATTTAGACACTACAGGTTCATTTCAATTTGAATTTCATGATTCCAAAAAGCAGTAAAATGGGCATTTTCTACTTCTGAATGATTAGTCAGTCTGATAATTAGAAAAAGAAAAAAAAGAGGTGGATTTTCACAGCACTGTGGGAATCCACAACGCTGATTGGTAAAATCCTAAAATCAAGGTGGGACATCTCAAATCAATGATAAAAAAACCAACCCTAAAATTTTAATATAAAACAATATAAAATTTAAAGACTAGAAAAATTTACTGTAAGCCACACTCTTAATAGATGCTTCAAAAATATCACTCCAAATAAAATAAATGCATATAAAAACTAAGTTTTTTAGCTACTCTATTTTAATTTACTGAGATGCATATCTGTATTAAAAAAAGAAAAAAAAAGGTGATTGTAAAAGTTTCTATCATCAAGATACGATGATGGCACATCTACAGTTAGAATACTCAAACATTATCACAGCATAACCTAATCAATTACAGGTAATAGATTAACAGATACTGGTAATAGATTCCACTCAGATCTTCCTGTTGTTAGTTAAGGAAACATGTTTTTTCTGTCAGCCTCAAATCTGACGACATGTATTTCTCTCTACGGGCTGAAGAGTTGTTTTTTTTAACATTTGATTCTATGAACTCTTATGATAATACTCGTAAAAAAAAAAAAGGCGAACATTCAAAAGTATACCTGCTAAATTCAGACAAACCAGTCTGCTTGTGCCTTCATTTAAAGTGCATTATGCAGGTACTTTAGGGTGAACAAGGAACCAAACATCTGAAAAAAAAAAAAAATGATAAAATAATTTCTGTTTTGCGAGTAAGTCATATAACTGAAAACTACAGCAACCTGCTACAACAAAATAAATTAAAAACCTCCCATCTGCTAGATTTAATGAATATTTCTGCTCCTTCATCAAAGCTGTAAAGCCCGGCCTTTGAGAGTGAATCTATATATTTACTGCAGTCTGCTTTGTGAGTTCAATGCACGAGTAAATAAAAGTCTGTGAATAAACGTTGGTTTTCTTTACCTGATCCCTGAACAAGTGCTGACAGCAACACTGGAGCCTTCAATGCCCAGAACTTCGCCATGATAGAAACAATTTTCCTGAAAAACAAAGTCTCGTTTCAACCCTCAGCTTTCTGTTTTCAATGTAACGTTCTTGTATTTTCAGAAAGAAACATTCTTGCATGTATTTTCAGAAAGAAACATTCTTGCATTTAACACCGACGCTGATTTTCACTTGATTTCCTCAGGTTCACATCGAATCTTCCTTTTTTTTTTTTTTTTCTCAGAAATGCGCTGTAATGTTTTTTTGCTGTGTGATTTAGGAGCATAAAACTGTTTCTTTAGACTCACGGTGCTGGCAGGAGAAGCGGACCAGCGAGCTCCATCAGGGCTGTACCAGATTTCCTGATACCCAGGGGCCAGCAGCTGTCTGGAGGCAGTCAGCACAAAGAGGACGTAAACATTGGAGACACAGAGCAGCAAAACATATAGAGATCTCAAGGGTGAACGTGAACCGTGGGCAATGGTTAACAAGCAACAGCTGAAGGAACGAAGATAGTGAAAGAGAACATTGCATCTCAATCTTGTAAACTATTCATTCTGGGAGATAACCTCACTGAACCAAAGTGCTTTAACGATTTTCTTAAGCAAATCTGAGATAGTAACGAACAAAAAAGATGTCATGAGTGTTTAAATAAATCTATATATATGTTTTCCTGAAATCCTTCACCTGCTGCCCGGATTGTGTAACTCAATGGTGAAAAAGCATTTTGTGGACGAAGTTAGCTCCCCATGTTCCAGATGTATTTTTTTCTACAATAAAAACATTTCTCAATTGCTAAACAAGTCTGACTCCACCGCAGAGGCTGATAAATCAGTGGAGGTTGCATGGATGTCTGGACATTGAAAAAACATTGCTTTGGGTAAAGCCTTGCATTTGTCTTATCCTGCATCTCCGTGTGTGCATGCGTGCGTGTGTGTTTGTGTGTGTGTGCACGTGTGTGTGTGTGCGCGTGCGTGCGTGCGTGTGTGTTTGTGTGTGTTTCAGCAAGGGCCTTTGGACTCAGATCAGCGTTGATGCTTCTTTTCCTGTAGTGCTCCGTCCAACTGTGTCTCAATCCATCCTTCCTGTTTTCATTCATAAACTTTGTCTGCCCTGCAGATGGTTTTCTTTTGCTCTGCCTCTGCAAGTGTATTTTTCTCCCCTAAGATTGAACTTAGAATCCTTTAATCATTAGTCCAGCAAATTCCAATTAGAATGATAGATGCATTTACCAAATCAAGTGACAGCCGTGACCCAGACCAATTTGACTGAAATGCATTAGGTATTGTAGTTTTATTTTTTTAATATTCAGTATCTGTTTCGTGCTGCAGCACAAAAGCTGGAAGACAACATTGATGTTGTTTTAAACACCGGGTGAAGTTAGCTTAATTAATCAAACAACTGACTTTGGAAATGAATTGTCCTTTCACTAACACGAACCAAATGTTAGCTAGCATTCTGAGCTTTAGCGTAGCTAAAAGCTAAGCAACTATAGATCTCTCTGAAGTTGTAATTCAATTGAAATACGGGGGCTTCTTTTAAATTCAAACTCCAAGCTAAGCTTGTAGCTGCACTTATAACCTGTTTGTATCTACTGTATTTTCCGGACTATAGAGCGCACCTCACTATAAGCCGCACCCACAAAGTAAAAAAAACAACAACAACAACAAAACTTACAAGCTGCAACGGGCTATTTGCAGCTGGTATCTCCTCTCATGTGGGTTCCATGATGAGGGGGTATGAGTTTGAAAACATTTCTCCTTCGTGCCAGCTGCTAGCATGTTGTTGTAAACGAAAATCAGCACTTTCTTCTTTGATTTACAATTTTGACTTCCAATGATTCCCTTCCTGCTAAAGAGCCCCCTGGTGGTTGAAGAAAAATCCACAGAAAAGCCGCACCGGGCTGTAAGCCGCATGATTCAAAATGAGGGGAAAAAAGTACCGAAAAATACGGTACTTATTGGAAAATCAATGTTAGACAATGTGTTTCTACAGTGTACGAATGCACATAAGGCTAATAAATTCAGCCGAATTAGCATTAGCATGGCATTGCTAAGAAAGCTCAGGCTGCTTGTCATAATTGGTCATTTCAACCAATCTATTGTACAAGTGCTTCACGTTTACTGCACCATTTGAGGAATGTTTAATTCCATTTGAAATTCAGACACTACATCAATAGCTCACTTCTGAATGAGGGAATAACTGCTAAAACATTTCCCAATTGAGTTCCATCTCCAACCTAACCTCAACCTCCAATATGGCTTCTACGTAAGATGTAGTGGTGATGATGCATTGGTAAACATTTGTATATCATAGGGTAAACAATGTATTCAGTTCAGTACAACGTCTTTTAAGGACTGTGGTGTTGCCGTGTTTGAATGTATAAAGTGCTAAGAAGTACCTTTCTGTCAACTGGTGCTGCTAACAGAGGAGTAACTGTGCTAAAGAATTATCAACAAGTCTGATAATCTATACAATGAGCTGAGAACATTAGCACAGTATTAGTCAACTCAGGCTACAGTGTCTGATGGTTTACCATGAACATTTCTAGTGAAATCCAAACACCACTTAAAAATGGCTGACCACTTCAACAGCTAAATTCAGACATCTTTGATCTGTGTCCTCTCGTTTCCTGCCGTATATGTATATTTGCTAAATTAACACACTGCTTGCTTTACATACAATGCATATCATACAAATTGCATCTCACAAGGACGCAAGTGAGGAGATCTCCCAAAATATCTGTTTCTCTAAAGCGTGATTGGGACAAATGAAGGGAAGTCTTTTCCGTCCCCTGTCAGACGCCCTGAGGGAGGCCAGCCACTTGAAACAATGACAGCCTGTTGATGCAATCTTCAACAAAGCAAGTCACAGACAGAAACGACTACTTCATCATCCACAGAGAAAGAGGAGGCTCTAAAATTACACACGTCCCACATAGAGGATTTAAAACTGATCAGTCACTGTCATCGCAAACAGGGCAACCCCCACAGTGTTTGGATTTGACCTCCTGACCTCATCTGGCCTTTCTTTAGTTTTGCAGCCTCTTGAACTCAGATTCCCGTCATGATCTCGGGTTATCTTTAAGACTCTGTGGTTTTCAGAGACCGAATGAACGACAAACTCAACTTCGCTCTGCTGCTACTTCGCAGCTCTTTTATATGAAGGGCAATTATGTCGTCTGAAAAAGAAACAAATGACTCCGTCTCCATTCTTGCTTCTGTTCACACGCCAATCAGCAGCTCTGTGCCTGAGCAAAACCACTCTGACATACCAATCCTTGGGGATAACCGTTTGTGTACACTAGCAGACTGATGGCTATATAACCTGCCCCGGCGTGACACATAGTCAAAACACACCATCTATGAAACTATACAACTAGCCTCTACCGCCAGCAACACATTTGTTACACCCTGGTGCAGCTCCTGTCGGTTCTTAAGGGTGTTTGGCAGAATTTATTTAAAAAATGTATCCAATCAAAGCTGCACACATAACATATTCCATTATCTTTATGGTCATTTGCATACCAGAATGCAAAGGTTGGCATGCTCATTCTTATCATCAGTAGGAGATGTGACATAGATTAATTCCTTTAACCGGTATCTTAAATAGAGTAGGTAAAAGTGCCACACTAAATCACAGAGGATGTGATCAACGCAGTTTCATTTTGTCTCAGTATTTCCTGACAGATGGGAGGCGTCAACTGGTGATTAAAAACTGGAATAAACAGCGGCGACGAACCTGCGTGACAGAAACTGTTTTCCTTTTCAACAACCATGTGCGCTCCAAAAGCACAAGGTCAACTTTACTAATTTTACAAAGTCATATTCACAAAAGTATCAAACACTGCCAGATGAGTTTAAGAATATAATTCTGATTTGTAAAGATAAACTCAGTTAACCAAAACAGAAAACCAAAAGAGACATATTGTTGCCACAGTAATGGCAAAACAAGGATTTTGATCAAAGTATATTCATGTGGTTACAAATTGGTGTTAACACATAAAATCCTCCTTTGATCTTACATATCTTATTAATATGAATAAGTAGAAATCCTGGCTTGTACGTGTGATAAGACAAAAAATAACTTCACTTAGTATCTATGCACTTCACTGTACTGATCTAGCACATAAAATCCCACTAAAACAAACAGAAGTTTGAACCGTGATAAAATGTGAAAAATAAATTTGCGAGGGATGAAACACTTTAGGAGCAGCACAGCTAAGCATGGCCAGGCGCCGCGAACCTCATTCCACTGCCAAGTTTGAGCCAATCAGCCTAAAACGCATCCCATTGACTTTAGAAAAACCTAAAGCCTTTAGCTTATTTGCATTCCAGTAAATACCACGAGGGCTTTCAAAGTGAGACTGTAAAAGTCCTATGTGCTGGCCAACGACGTCTGGATGCCTTCCAGTGCTTGGACAGATGCTGTGATTTAGCACAGCAATGTTGCTGGAGTCTGGGCTGTCCAGCAAATGAAGCTGAAACAAAGAGCCGGTTCAACATTGGCAGGAGAAAGACGGAGTGGGGGAGTAATGCTAATGTACTTTGGAGATAGTGACGGGTGGGGACAGGGTTGGGGAGCGAGGGGGTGTAATGCAACAGGGTCAGAGGGTTGCATTCTCTCATAGTATCAGATGACATCACTGCACAGAGGTAGGGGGTCAGGAGAAAGATGGCTGACGCAGAGCAAAAAAGAAAAACTACATTTCTGCAAAGGCTTCTGAACAGGGAGGATGGCGAAAAAAAAAGATGACATCCCGCATCTGTTTTCACCACTGAGTCTGTAAAAGTTAGCTTGCGGATGTCATCTGTCTGCGTGTGGCCGCCGACTCCCTAAGCCTCGCTGCCGGGCTCGTTTATTTACACTGGAGCCCCGTGGGAGCGTCAGGCGAGGTGAGAAAACTCCGGTTTCCGAGCTGGTCAGTGGAGGACGGGACAAGATAAGGGCGGACTGAAGGAGAAGGAAAAGAGCAAAGAGGAGAGACAATGGCCGCGTTTCCTTAGGGAGTGCAACATTCAGGTTCATGCACTTAATGATGTGCAGGAAGGGCACTAAGCTGAAGAATAGAGAAAGTCAGGCAGTGGAGGAAGAGGTAGTATCCACACGGGTCCTGTCTGAACCAGAGAGATATAACTCACGCCCAAACCGACCCCAACTGTCACACTTTTCCTCTCAGCTCATCCTTGCTCAACCCTCCGGTCCATGACACGCCCTTTCACACCGCTTCCTCTCCATCTCGCTGTGTAGTTGCATTACCTTTCTTGCACTCTGAGTCAGCCTGCACTCTCTGGTCCTCGCCTTGCTCTTAACCGAATCAGCCCGACGCAAGTGCGCCGTGGCCTTTCATTTAGATAAAAGCTAATGCAGACACACACACACACACACACAGAGAAGAATGACTGGGAAGGACAGAAATGGATTAGGTTTGGACTCCGGCCACAAAGAAAACCAATGCCGACAAACACTAATGTCTATGTTTTCCTTCACGTTTTGTTGCTGCGACTGGCTAAAGAACAGATGAGGTAAAGCCGGGAGAAAAGAAGGACAGCTGGAGAACGATAGCCTTGGAGCGTCACAAGAGACAAATAAAAAGGATGACATCGAGATCGTTCCACAGCTGCTTTGGGTTTCCCATATATCTGCTGACCTTGTAACACAGTTTTAGGTGCAGAGAGGATACAGAGATGCAGCCAGGATACTACCATGGCATGTATTTACTGGCAGCGTTTCATCTGGCTGCTCCTGAAAAATCATTAATCTTCCCCCTCCGACACAAACTGCAGTCTTCCCCGGCCAAGCTTTTAGTCTCACAGCCATTTGTGTCTCAGCACTAGAAACGAATCAAAAGTACTTTGGGAGTCTTTATTGGGAAACAAAGGGGTGAAACAATGATTTGCGATGGGGGGGGACATAATACTAGTGCTAAAATTAAAGAGTGAAAAACAAAAAACAGGGTCTTTCCAGAAAGCATCAGAATTGTTCTGTAGGAACTTGAACATGAACTATTGTAGCACTCAATGCATTTAGGCATCTAGATGTGGTGAGGGTGATTTGCTGGAGTTCTAGCGAAGCACCAGAACGAGGACGGAAGAGGAGTCAAGTGAGTTTTGTTGTTGGTGGGAGATGGGATGGTCTGAGTATTCCAGAAATACCGTGTTGACGTCAAAAGTCAAAGAAGAATGCGAAAACTGGTTTGAAATGACACAAAGGAAACTATTTTTGGTTTCAAAGTAACTACATATTGTCAATTAAGGGTAAAAAAAACCCTGGAATTATTGGAGCACAATATTTTAGTAAACAGCAGTATCAGTGTTGGTTTTCTTCACCTCAAAAGCCTTTTGTCCAACAGCAAAGATTAGTCAGATATGAATAATAAATATTTATTTAAAGACCAAATATCACCATATATTAGAGCTAGGATATCCAACATGCATGAGCCATGACAAAGCAAACTGATGACGGTGCCAAAAAAAAGAAGGTCTATTTGCTGGAAGCAAGTTTTGTCAAAAGGACCAAGGAACTGAAATCTTGGATTGAAGAGAAACAACTGGGGTGTTGTTTGTGAGCATAAAATATTTACTTGGTATTTTTTTCCCTCTCAGTAGAAAACATTTGCTGTTCTCCTTAGATCACGTTACAAACTAAATCACTAACCATTATCTGTAAACATTCATTATAAAATGGTGGATCTGTGACTCCTTTTGTCTTCATGCTCAAACCAACAGTAGACGATAACACTCAACTATCAATGCTGCTGGAGTATTTCAGCTTTCTTTCTACATCACCACATGTTTAGCATTAACTTAAAAGATCTTCAAGGCCCCGCTATGGTGAAACTCAGCAGCCTGGAATCAGCAAAAAGCGCTTTTAAATCCCTGGGAAAGGTGCCGGTTTAATGGGTCTTCAAGCAACACTTCTTAGACAACATTTCTCTCGACTTCCTCCTATTCTCTGAATAAATACTTAGAAAAAAAACTTTGTAAGGTCAAATTTGAGCTACAGATTTTGCTGTTACAAAGATGGAGACAGTAAGCTCCAAACCCAAACATAATTAAAAAAGAAAAGTTGTAAAAATGATGACTCGTGGTGCTTAACAGCCTGGGCTGGCAAGCTACGCTGTGAAAGTGCACTAAATGTAAATCTGCATGCCAGGCAGATGGGCTGCAAGACACCATAAAACTCTCAAGGATCCAATTAAGTGTTAGAAGTTATGATGAGCGTAAATTTTGTTAAATATGTTTGCGTAATGAAGCAAGTGCAGTCTCTAAGTGAAGTGCAGCATTCGAGCTATTATGAACACGCAAAAATATATCAGGACAAAACCTAACTGGATGTCTTGAAATGTTCAGATCGTTTCCTGGCCCAGAACAGAGGAAAATTGCACAAGAAGGATTTCAAAATGCTGTTTTATCTTTGCAAGAAAAAGATCGTATTTCCTCTTTTTTGGAACAGCTTGTAATCATTTCTTGAGTATATTAACACCTTCTCCATCCTGTTCCGAGAAACACACTGTACAAGTTTTATCTAATCTATGTCAAAACCTCACGCCCGTCGCCTCATCAGTCATCGTTTCCCGCTCTGTCTTCTGACCACACATGGTCGGACAGGTTGTGATTGATGAAAATCCCTTCTCCCAGAGGGAGGTGGGAGGGGGGCCCCCACAGTGAGACCACCTGCCGGGTCGACGGAGCGGAGGGGAAAATCCCTCGGGGCGGGTGGGTAAGGGAGGAACGTTCATCCAGACTCGCTGGAGACGCGGCTCTGTGAGAATCCAAATGAGGAATACACTCGAGGGCAGAAGCAGACTCCGTGGCTGACGTTCATTAAGGCTCTGCTGTCCACTTGTCTGCTGGCTCCAATCCAAGTGATAAAACCTCAGCTCGTTTATCGTAAAAAACGCAGACCTACCCTGCAAACTTTCTATTAAAGAGGGGCAAGACACTTGGCTCTCGTTCTGCCATCGTCTCATTGTTAGTGGACAGGAACCGCAACATCAGATTGCAGGATGTTCGCTGGAGAGGCACAATCTCACTTCCTGTTAGCTCAAGGCGGACGGATCGGGTGTCTGTCGTCCACCACGACCCCCCTCCCTCCGCCCCCCCTCGTCATCACCCACCACCGGGGGCGCTGACCTTGTGAACGCGTCCATGTCACAGCTAACATCTGGTCAAACAAACAAGGGCAAGCAGGTCGGCCCGCTGATGACTGAGATGCCGTAATCCTATGGTTCTCAAGTGCCACTGGTGGTACTTGGGTTGTCGTTAGGGTTACTTAGAGAAAGTTTCACTCTTACAAAATAAATGTGGAGCAAATTAGCTGCAGGGGTAATAAATTAAAGATGCAACGGAAGGCTGATCTGGGCTTAAACAGGCTACAACCGAGATGAAGACGCAGTGGAGAAAATACCTCTGACTCCATAACCTTTTACCTTGGATCAAATAACATTGTCGAACCCGACTTATTCGCCGCTAAGAAAGAAAAGCCTCCCCACCGCATGATGTTGCCACCATGTTTCACCCTGTGGATTCACGGTGATGCACAGTGTAGGTTCTCTACCGCACATTAGCACATCGAATGTAGCCAAAATGTTTAATTTAAACAATCTGACCAGCTGACTATGTGGCTTGTGGCAAACCGTAAAAGGAGTTTTTATGGCTTTTCAGTCACCAGTGAGTTTCTTCTTGCCACTCTTTTGGGGAGAGCGCACTAGATTCTCCCTCCTGAGCTGTGAGTTTCTGCAGCTCTTCCAAGGTCACCATCTCGGCAAGCAGCCAATTGTGCCTACTCTTTGCATTTTTAGATGAATGAATGAATTATAGTGCTCTGTCAGTTACCATCCATTATTCATGTTTGGACTGTATTAAACTAATTTGATGACTTCTGGAAGTAATTTGTTGTAGACTGGATTTTATTTACGGGCATCCGAGTAAACCAGGCTTTACTTGTTCCCCCTGCAGGGTAAGCATGGCTTATTTTTTTTAAATATTTGCATTTTTTTTAAGACTTTATAGTTGTTNATCAGGTGTTAATCTTCCAATCTTTCAATAACACATAATTGTCAAGTGATATTTTCAAATTTCCTGTCTAACTCAAAAACGCGACGGGGCTGCTGGATGAATGACTGCCCTAGCGCCCAACCACTTAGCAAGTTTTCTGGCGTAAATCTTGATTCGTAAAATAAATTTGCACATCATCTAACACTTTGGCCTGCCACCAAAAAATCTGGTAACACTTTATTTGAAAGGGTGTGAGCCAACTTTGCATGATTTTGTAAATTATGATAATTTAATGCAAAGTTGGCATTTTTAATGGACTTTCAATGCAACTTTTAGAGCAACTTTGCATTAAAAGTGTCATTATTTACCGAATGACACTTCATGACAACTATCAGAAACATTCATAAAGACTTCTTTATGTTCATGACAGTCTTAATATGTTCATATTAGTCTTATGCACACCCCTTCAAATAAAGTGTTACCAAAAATCTCAATAAAATATACTAAACTTTATGTCCCCAATGTAAAAAAAAAAAAAAAAATGATGCTGTGTCTTCCTGAAGGTACACTCACTCGTTTTTTTCCAGGTGTATTCTGAGCTGCTGGCCCTCGGCTGAGATCAGAACCTGGACCTCTGCCGGATGCTGGAAAACACAAAACAGAAGAGATTCAGCCATAGCAACGCACACTGGCTTCACATGAGAACAAATCTCAGCTGTTTTGTTACTTGGGTAAATATCCAACATTTCTCTCTCTCTCTCTCTCTCTCTCACACACACACACACACACACACACACACACACACACACACACACACACCTCTTTGTTGGCAGATCTGATGTGTCTACGAGGATGCAGCCACACGGGAGAGGTAACCTCATAACTCTGGATATGTTCGAGGACGCCTTTCAATCTGTTCTGATTGTTTTCTCCTGCAGGGGAATAACAAAAGAATTGGGAGATAAACAGGACAACGCTGCATTCTCGTCTATTTAATTAAAAACAATCTCCAACAAATGCATATTTTGACACCACATCCTGAAGAGGAAAATGCGCTGGAAAAGAATCCCCCAACGTGCAAAAAAAAAAAAATAAAATAGCCCCCTAAAACAAACCGCCTCACCCTTATAAGCAGCTTCTTCAGAGCCAGCAGCAGAGACTCGGTGCAGAAAAACCGTAAGGCAGAGACACAGAGAGACCCGCACGGAACCGACAGGAGGGGGACGCATTCTACTGATAAAACAACCGAGCCCACCGATACAGAACCGACCAGAGAGCAGCCTGGTGTTTCACATCCGATGGAGAGAGCGTCGCCAGTGAGACATCGCGATAAGCCGGCGCTGCGCGCAGTATTAATGGGATGCTTCAGCAGCAAAGCGGAGAGAGAACATTTCTGTCATTTCCAAAACCCCTCCCATCTCACCACGCACGGACATTGATCTGTCGAAAGGCAAACCCAGGATGTGATGAAAGGATGTAGAGGTACGGCGGAAAATGTCCGCTGTAGACATGAAGCTGGCTGAAAATAAAACTGATTACCACAGTTGATTTCCTCCACCCCCCCCCCCCCCACCCCCCACCCCCCCCCAAACCCACACTGACTATTTCTACTT